TTTAAAGTGAACATTGTGATCTAAGGGAAAATTTTGCAGTACATTCGAGTTCAACACAAAGCAAACACTATTCAGATAAGACGGCATCATGCTTCATGGTATGCTTATATCCAGTCATACCCAGCATGTGCGGTTGTATTATTTAGCAATTGTGTGATTTATTGCTAGTTATATAGATTTCATCCTAAAATTTTTTTTTTCCGATTTCCAGTCTGAATATTCACTTGTTGAACGCAGTAAACAAATAAAAATATTCGTGTTCAGCTCATGAACCACTGCCATGCCATAACTAATGTATGAAGCATAAAATTTTGGGAAAACTCCAATATTCAAGCTGAAAAAAAGGCGCAAAATTTAAATTAACAAATTAGATTTTGATCAAAACCTTTTTTGCAATGCCCCTCTGAAATATTCTGCACATCACAGAGATGTATCACTCTCACTGCTGAGTGTAAACATAAAGCTAAATTTGAGAGAGAGTAACAATGTCCTCCTCTGATTCGATAAGTGAAGATAGTTTTCTGTTAGGGGTCATCAGATGAGACACACGCGGGATGAAGAGTCAGAACTTATATTCACGAGGAAGTCAAGTGAAAATATTTGATACAGCCCGATGAATCCGATATTTTTCTTCCGACTTGGAAGTTATAGCGCGGACATGAGACAAAAACTACACACCACCTTTGTCTGCACAGCACATATGATTTGAGTTTTTGAAATCCCACTTGAGATGGTTTGTTTGCCCACAAACAATCCTGGATACTTCTTCTTGGGGGTTGTTTGCGCTTACTTGCATTTCCCAAAAAAGATGACAATATGAAAAAACCCTTGAAGTGTGTTCATGATATGGGTGACAGTCCTGTTAACTTAAAAACATTGTGAATCCTTCAGAAATATTTAAGAAAAGACATTACTTTAATATTAAAAAAAATGACAATGGCCACTACACACAATTTGTAGTAAAAAGTGATACACGCTCACCCTAAGTTTCTAACTATCCCATGAAGATTATATTTTTACTTCAGATTTTGATCTAAAAACCCAAAAACGCCTAATACAATTACTGGAAGTGCCTCACAAAGCAGTATAAATATTACAAAGATGAAAGTTTATATTGTTCACATATTTCAACATACGTCTAAAATGGTTCTACTATTCTTTCAATACAATACACAGTGTCACAAATGCAGTAGGCAAGTTATGGTATTTTTCCGAATTGTTGGTAATATCATGTTGATAAAATACAGATATTTTGGTTCATCTGAGTGGTCTTGAAATTCATGAATTTTTTTCACATTTAAGTAATAACAAGTAATAATATGTACAAAACGCCTTTCATTTTTATATGTACAAAATAGATACGTACATACAATGCAAAAATTATTTAATATTGAGCATTTTAAACTGTAAATTTTCAAAATCCCAAAATGACCTAAACTCAATATCATCCAACGCATTTCTACTGGAAAAAATATAAAAACTAAGAAAAATTTAAAAAAATACAGGCTTACTATATCAAGTAAGACTACCACGCACATCATCTGGGCCACATATAATAATTGCAAATGTACACATAATATTACTATTCAGACTACACTACTGGGCCAAACTCTAGGCCTGCCCTGGCCCTGTTTCTATGACTCAGGCACACTTCCCCGGCGCTATTATCGCCTACCTTCAATCCCAGCTCTCTCCTTTCAGACAATTTTGTATTGCTATCACAATGTTAACCAGAGGTCAAGATCCATCAAACCCCTTAAAAATATAAAATGGGTATTAGTGAGGCCAATTTGCCTTACTGAAAGAGCAAAACAAACTAAATGAGTTTCGGTGACTCAGCGATCCAAGATATCCCAACCCCCAAGTAGTACTGAACACAAGTTTCTATTGCAGTTAAATATCAACATGGAAGATGAAGCTAATCAAATAAAACTGACATTATCGTACCTACACAAACCTAAAAATTAAGCCAAGCTTTCGCCAAGATACACTAGTATCTAAGGTTTGAAGCCGATCAGAAGAGAGATTCTCCAGTTACTACGTGGAAACTATTTTTTAATGACTTTGGCAAATTGAAACTTAGCTCAAAATCAATGCTTAGCTTCCACCGAGAAACACCAGTGTTCAAAGGTTGAAGCCAGCCAGAAGATGGCATTCTCTAGTTTATCACACACAATCCAACAATTTCCAAGTTTACTAGCTATGTTAAAATTGGAGGAGAAGTAATTATTATTACTCCAATTCTACCCTTCCCGTCCACCCCCCCCCCCTAATATCCTGGTCCAAGTCGGACTGAAACACTGTCGTAAGTTTCAGTCTCCTAAGTGCGGTTATTTGTGTATTTTAAAAACATGGGTGTTACAGTAAACACGAAAAATTGTCACTAAACTTTGGTATTTTCATTATTTATTCAACTATTTGATCGAGATGAACAACTTGGTCGAAGTCTGGATATAAATGAGCATGGAACAAGCCATCACACTCCCCCTCAGGTGTGTGAAGATTTTTTTTAATATTTATAAAATTTAAAATTAGTACAGATGAGGGTTAAACAAATACATTGGGAGGATCTTGTGGAGTACACTGATACCCCTCCACGAGTTCCTGAACCTCAAGAGGAGCGTAGTAAAGCTATTAATAATAATAATAATGGTTTTTATTTTACTTCAATGACTAACCTTTTTTCTTGGTCTACTGTACCGGTAGTATGGTTTAATGGGAAATTAGTCATGCATGGGCCATGACGTAACAATCACATGAGCATTTCAAACTAAGTAGGAAACATTACATTATGAAATGGATGAAGAGATTAGTTCATTGTGAACTATTAAACGACACTTAGAAACCGTTAAGTGTTAACAATGCTTGCAGCTCGGGATAAAGCCTTTTTTCTGAATTTAGCACTAGTTCAATATTAATTTAAAGATCAGATTAAAAATGCCTTTTAATAATTAACCCATTAACATTAATTGCAATACTAACCACATCTGAGGTGGAGGAATTTTCCAGGAAAGAATCTCGGTAAACCAACATGTTGACATAAGCACCAAGAGAGAGAACTGCTGCTTGAAACTGCCGATAAAAAGTTCACAAATTAATTGAACTGTAAAAAAGTACTGTAGATGACATGCAAACAAGTGACAAATGAACATGAAAACAACACTTAGCAAGGTGAGCTTTCACTAAAAGACATTTCATTTACGTGATTTGATAAAATTCACTCAAAACGATCTCTAATAAAGGTTCATCCTGCTAAGTAATTCTGTAACATTAACATTATAGACTACATATTCTTTGTGCAATGCATTTCTGGAGTTTTTACAATAAAAACTGTGTAACAAATAGCTCTACCGTATTGGCTTAGCATTATAACATATTACAAAACAGAAAGAAAAGTAACGCCTTACTCAGAAATATAATTTCTTCTACGCTGTTTGTGTTCTAAGGAAGGTCTTAATGCAGTCTTAGCCTCGCCGAGAGGTTTATCGTTGTTTAATTTCCTCAGAACGGCTGAATTGTCATCAAATTTTTTTAAAGTTCCAATATGTATGTCCAATAAAACCAGTATTACAGATAAACAAAAATGTTATGGGGCCATAGAAGTACAAAAACCGTTCCAGTTCACCTGGGGAAAAAAATGTAGTTTAGCACAACTGTAATAACACTTGGTATGTTTAACGTTAATTTATAGATTTTTTTTGTAATTGTAAATTAGCTACACATTAACATTGTTTCATATGTCCATTACTCTCTGGGGAATTGATGATGATGTTTAAAGTGCTCAGTACTGCATGACAATGGAAACGAGTGGAGGGTGAGCACATGGACAACGAGGACGAATCCACAGGTGGTTCGGCATATCAGACTCGCTTAAAAATGTCAGGGAGAGACAAAGTAGGACTACCACAGATATGCAGGATTTGGATTTATTTTCATGTTTTAAAACGATCAGAACCATTTAATTATTCAGTGTTTATAATATAGGTGCTGAAATTATTAACACACTATTATTACCAGATTACTGCTACCATGACTAACTTACTATTGTATTACAGAAATCGATATCACAAATCATAATTAAAAAATCAATCTTTCGTATGTTACAAACGAGCCTTCAGGAGAGGGAGAGATGGTAGGTGTACTGGGCTGGCTGGGAATGGTAGGCTCTCGAAAAATAACAGGACTAGAAACAGTTCGAGGATCTTCACAATCAGTATAGCAGGCCTGGTTGCCTGTCTTACAAAAAGATAATTACGAGTCTTAGGAGTATTGCACAGCAGTACTGTACACCTACGCATATTGTATAATGTATTCAAAATAATTAGATCCCAGAGCTGAGAGATACCACCTACCAAGGGAGAAGCTCATTCAAAGAGCTATGAGATAACAATTACCAAGGATGCTAATCCTAGAGCTGAGAGATACCATCAACCAAGGGATAAGTTTTCTACCATGAAATCTTGTGATTCGAATGGTCACCCAAACTTGAGCATCTAACACCAGCCACTCGTGATCACTCCTTACAAACTATATGGAGTTCTACATTTGACAATTACTGCTCTGGCTTCTTGCCAGCAACTAAAGTGGCAATAAAGTCCGCAGTCTCTTAATTCCTACCAGAGGCGTTTACTGTCATTACCTGTATACAGAAAGCAAGCCAATCCTGACATGGTTTCTTGGGAGAAAATGTACTCAGTAGTTTTTCTGCACTACAATGTGGTAGGTTTTAAGCTGTGACCTTTTAAGATGTGTCACACTGGATATCTTGAAATAATTAACTATCAAAAGTGTTAAACATATTGAACATTCAGGTGACAGTTCTTGAACGAAATTTGTCACGTAACATCTCTATGGACGTAACATCTTTCTGGCTGGTGGACCATAATGGCTCAACTGAAAGCTAACGAAAACTTGGAACACCGAAAGAGGGTGATGTATATACGGGCCCTCTTGTATTATTTGGGTTAATAACACAGTACCTGCCACGTCTCTAAGAATCATTTTTTCAACGAGTTTCAATTCATTTGAGTTTACAAATTTCATATGTATCCTTCACTTGATTGCATTCAAACATGAGCTTCAAAAATTCAGAAAGATATTACGTCGATAGAGATGTTGCGTGACAAATTTCGTTCAAGAACTGTCACCTGAATGTACAATATGTTTAAGACGTTTGATAATTAAAGTTAACGAAAACGTTGAATACCGAAAAGAGGTGCTGTATATGCGGGGCATCTCGGCACCGTCCATACAGTATTTACTGCTAGGTGCACATGGGTAGCAGGCATGAGACTAGTAGCTGTCAATATGCCTTACCCTACCCAGGTATTATATTTGGTTCTCTCGGATGAGACGAATACACTGCCACCAAGCTACAAGTCTATATCTCAAAATGTGCTCGATTTGCTAGGTTTGATGATAAAGATAACTGAGGATTAAGAGAAAGTATGACTTTGGGACAGCATATTGTACAGTATATGCAATACATTTATAAGGGGAAATGGTATGGTGATACCGACAAGATGTGGAAAAAGACACTTATATACAGTTCAGGACATTTATTAAAGGAAACGTTTCGCCACGAGTGGCTTCTTCAGTCCTAATGCAGAGATCAGATCAGATCAGGACTCACAGGTAAGGACCCACGAGGGGCGAGGGGCAAGTGGGGGACAGTGCGAAGAATAGATGGTGAGAGGAATGTCTCGAGTCGAAGAGAGAAGAGTCAGGACTAGACCCAACTGCTAAGCCTGGATAAACAATGACGAAGACGACATAGAAGACAGCAGGAACTCTGCAGGTGCTGACTGCAACTTGCTGGATGGAAGATTGCTGCATCTTGATGTTGATTGGAGGCTGGCAGAAGCTGGAGGCGTGGTCAAGGGAGGCTTCTTGATTGGTCAGGTGTCGTTAAAGTGTGAGTCAGGAGTTACATCATTTCTTCAGTATTGGAGGCATTCCTTATGTTGTGCAGTTTTTGGAAGGAAACTATGAGTAGTCTTGTAATCTTGGGTCGAAAGCTGGGTGGATTGTAACTGGTCAAAGGCCCATCTTGATCTGTAAGACAAGGGGTTCCCTTTACGATTTGTAACCTGACTGTTTTCGTGTAATTTCTGTACAAGTGTCGACTTATGGGGGGTTTTTGGGTCAGGAGTCGAAAAAAGTTATATTTTCCATGCAGGTTTTTGATCTCGGTGTTGGTTTTCTGTAAAATAGTCGAGTGATGACTGGGAGGTTTTTGTTTGTATTGCAGCTTTTAAAAGTTCAGTTAATTTTGGCGCTCCGCTACAGTGTTACAAAAGACTGTGGTGGAATCGTGGCTTCGTTTGGTCAATTTGAGTAGTGGGGCGAAGGAAGATATTGCGCCGCCACGCGACCAAATCGACGAAAAGACGGGGTGTGTCTTAGACGTTATCAGGTAATGTTTTTTTGACGTCACAGTTGTTGTGGGTTTTGGGCTGCGGGCGCAGGGGTGAAATTTAGGCCCTTTGGGGAAATTTTTGTATTTTTTTCCGAAGGTGGAGATGGGGAATATGAATATTGCATTTTTTTTAATGCAAAAAAACTCGTTGAGGGTAGAGTTAAAACTTTTAAAGGGACCCGGGTACACCTGTTCTGCATGTGGCGTATATAAACAGTAGTGTTTTGGGTTACTCACATTTGGGGAGGATGGTGGAGGGGGGGTGAGTAATGCTTGAAGAATTTTTGGGTTTGGCTTGATTTTTGAAATTGTGAAACTTGGTGTTTGCAGTAGGTTTTTTTCTTTGCTGAAACTTGTGTTTCTTCTTTTTCTTGTAGGACTTTTTGCGGGCCAGTGTATGGTGGTCATTACTCTTGCAGTTTAAACACACTTTTTGTTTTGGGAGCGCAGGGGCACAGGAACTGAAGGGTTTTTCCCTCCTACCACATGTAGTGAGAACTCTTGTCTTTTTTTGGACTGCTTGGGGGGGGGGATGGTATGAAAAAACGTTCCAGCAATGTTGGATGTAGTGGTATCTCTTGCTTCAATGTAGGTAGGATGTTAGTGTAGTGACAAAAAAGACCTTCGTTTAAACAGTGGGAGCCATGTTCACGTCGGGGAAGGTGACCTTGAGCAAAGGGGGTTTCATTTGGGATTTTGGTAATGCGTCAACATAGCCCAAGTTTTTGTGTCCGATGGGTACTTGGTTCGCGGGGGATTGAGAAGTCAGAATCTTGTCAAGTTTTTTTAAGGAATACGTTTCCTGCCCTGAGGGGAATGATGATGTAACAGTAAACCCTTTAGCAAAAAAAAGGGTTTTGGAGGCTTCGATGAGTACTTCTCCGCTTTTGGCATCATCGGAAAACCCAACAAGAATGCTTCTTTCATGACAATATGGGGTTGAATTTTTTGCAGTGCCCGAACAACAGTTGCAAGACAATCTTCGTTGAATCTCAAAGGGACCATTTTTTGGGTTTTATCTTTAACATTTGCGTCTCAACGTGTAATCAAGGGGAAAAAACCTGGTAAAGGTTCCCCTCCCCAACGGGAATCGTGGGAACAGATAAGTAAGGGGAAACTGCTAACCCCGCCCGGGGGGAGAGTCAAGACAGAAAAAAAACAAAAAAAGTATATATATAGTGGGAGGATCAGGGGAGGTACGCGTGGGAGAGGGGGTAGTTTTGGGAGTTTTTCTTAAGCACAGGGGAAAAAAAAAATTTTTTTAAGTCTACCAGAAGCCTACCTCAAAAACGATCTTCTGATTTTCTTCTCTCACATGAACAAAAACAAAAAATGGGGTAGTTTTTTTGGCTTCTTTCTGAGAGCCTACAGAATTTTCCCGTCCCCAGTTCCCCGAAGAAGAATGTACATCACACCAACTCTTTAGTTCACTACATTTCCCCCCCACTTCTACGTGACTGGGAGGAAAAGTGCGCACGTATCCTCAGCAAACCAAAACCCAAACAAAATTTAACAAAAGCCTCCAAGTTACTCGTTTTTAAAACCGGGCAGCAAAAGTTCCACTTAAAATTTTTTAAAAATGTTTTTACAGAAAACTGGGTAAATTACTACCAGTCTTCAACACTATTGGAACCTGATACAAAAAACCCCAAACTGACTCTGGCACAAGTGCAGGAATCTACACAACAAACGGGGGGTGGCAAATTAAAGTGGGGAAACAGCCCGATATCTGGAAATTTGATATTTTATTATTATAATCAAAAAAAAGCGCAAGCCACAAGGCTTACAGCGCTGCAGGGAGGAAGGAAGCAAGGGATCAGGGGGGCAAAAAGGGGGGTGGATGATAATAGGTTACGGATAAACGCGGAGCATGGATGGGAAAGGGGAAAGGGCAGCAAGAGACGAATAGAAAGGGCTGGGGGAGGCGTAAGTACATATCAATTTTGGAGTAAATCAGTCTTTTTCAAGAAATCAAAGAGAGGGTCAGGATTAAAAGGGGGGTCCATAGCAAGAAGGAAGGTAAAAGAGAGTAGAACGAAACGGCATTGGAGGGAAATTCTCGTGCTCGTTGATAAGAGGGCAGTCTAACAAATGGGCTAATTGATATGGAACTTGACAGCTCCAGAGAGGGGACAGGGGGCCTCTCCATGAATACCCTGGTAAGAAAGAGGTGGCCAATGCGAAAGGGGGGAAATGGGCCCCCCAAC